GGAGCAAAGCTCAACTAGAAATGAGCCATCATATTTGCTGACCCTAAAAATGGGGAGGAGGTCTATTTGTAGTCTAAGGGGCGAATGGGTACATGTGTCTCGGCCCGGAGGCATGCACGCAGGCAAGGCCAGATGATCTGAACGAGATTCTGGCTGATTCGGGCGTCGGGGGTCCGAATGATTCGGCTTCGGATGGGTCCATGTTGTCTTCCTCGTCGTCATAGCCGAACGATCCGGGAGAGGTTCCGGATGTCCGGGAGGAGGTCCGGATGTCCGGGAGGAGGTCCAGATGTCCGGGAGGAGGTCCGGATGTCCGGGAGGAGGTCCAGATGTCCGGGAGGAGGTCCAGATGTCCGACCTGTCTCCGGCAGCTGCTCCATCTTCTTCTCCTTTCTTCCCTCTTCTCTTCCACGCTTCCCTCGCGGATGGTGTAGTCGTTCATTGGCGCTTACACTCCTCCTCGACATTCGTGAAGCTTCAACAATACTTATGCATGCGCGATGGAAGGTCAAGTAGTATACCATCCTCGAAGGGGTCAAGCGAGCACATGTAAAAGAGATGATTCACCTTTATGTATGTGAAATAGATGTCGCACGTATCACTTGCGTCAAATGGACTCTTGACATGGTGATATCTGTAGGATGCTCTGCATCAGCAAGACACCTCACAGCGTAATTAATGTGTTTGTCCTAACCCATCAGAGTTAGGTATTTGACACTGTAGCCACTATTTACAGTGCGTATTTACCATTTTACCACTATGGTGACCCTTTTATCTATAAAAGGAGGCCCATGGCTACCTTGATAAAGATTAAAACCCTGTCCATTTGCACACGTAGCTACACCTTTCGAGCACCTTGCCAGGACGTGTGCACCTTGTAACTGGACATATACATATCCAATACACAAAGCAGGAGTAGGGTTTCACGCTTCACAGCAGCCCGAACCTGGGTAAACATCGTGCGTTTTTGCTAGCTCTGCTCTTTGTGCTCGCCGATCTCCCCAGTTAAACCGTAAAAGGGCCTTTGCTGGTCCCATAGATCGTCGTACGCATGACAGAGTGCAACACTGAACATGATATGTTGCACGTGCTGAAAATGGTGCCAAGCGACGCCACGACGAAGTCCTCAAAGCCCTGAACATTAAGAGGGATTTGCAAAATTCTTCAAGCATCGACTAGATTAAAGATATTTTGAATAAGCTTAACGATCGTGAGAAAACGATCTTTTCCTTTCTTGTACTCATCGCTAATACGCTTAGCCCAACCGCAAGGAATCGTCTAATGTGCCGGATTCTAAATTGCCACTTCTCAATGCGTCTTCTTTGACCATTCATGAGCTACAGTAGCTGTCGTAGTCAAAACACTGCTAGTGATTACATGGGTACTAATGACCGAACCGAAGCCCAAACGGTTGTGTGGATAGGGTCAGGTCCGGATGAATTTGTGAACATATCTCACAACATTGTAATGGTCCAGGCTGAGTAATACAAACTACTTTGAAAGGCAGTCCGATGCATGTAACTTCAGCTTACGCAGGGTTTAGGGAAAGATCCGATCACTTTGGGTCTATTATACGCAGCCTTCTCTACAGTTTTGCAAGAGATTGTTTTCAGGATTCAAAACCGTGACCTCATGGTCACAAGGCAACCGCTTTACTGCTGTGCCAAGGCCCCCTTCTAATACAAACTACTTTCTTGCAAATAAAAAAAAACATGATATGTGCTAGTAATAAGCAGATGTACGCTTTGTTAAGACCTAAACAAATACGGTGTTGCGGGTAACACAAAGATTGGCCTATCTTCAACACGCCATATTCTAAAAAAAAGAATCACACATCATTTTCTAGGATGTTGCTTCCATGCACATACTGCGCTTTCATGTCGATTTTACCCTTCACCAATCTACGGCTAGTGAGGCAAGTAGGAGAGTCTTAACATTTGCCTACATTCTGATCTGAAACCTTTCTTGGATGTTTACGTTGCTCCAGTAAACATCTGCAGCAGAAATCAGGAAGAAATAGGAAGCGCCAAGTGGGCTTATAGCCATTCTGATCTTAGATAAATTAGTCTTAGAAAGCGCTAAAATTAGTAAAAATGGTTTTGATGCGCACGTAGTCACAATGCTAACCACAGAAGCCACAAGTCAAATATAGCTGACGAACTTCAAACCTTTCAGAGACGACCCAAAAAAAGGAACATGCATGCCATGGTTCCCTGATGCTACCCAAAAAGTGTGTGGCTTCCCTTCTGCTCGCACCCTGCCCATCCAACCCTTTGCTCCATTTCGTGTCATGCTTCCTCATGCTTTGCTTTCCCCTTTGCCCCATTCTTCCTCCTTCAAGCATTTTCCCCTTCTCCTTGCATTTACTTTCTTGCCAAACTTAGGACAGTCCCCACCAGTTCCTCCTCCATCTGATGCATCATTCTATCCTGTGTGTTCCCAATGGAGTTGCCAGGGTAGGGTAAGGTGTCCATTTGCACGGGGAAGAGGGAGGAGCGAATCCTTGTTGCTCGATCTCTCTTTCCCGTATTCCTCGACTTCATTCTTCGTTATCATTGCGGCTACTTCATCTGAAAGGAGGAGCAAAAGATCCTTTTGTTGATCCAGGAAGAAAAGAAAAAGGTGGCGCAAGAACAGCTTGCTTGTGTAATTCAAATGCCTCTTCCTTGATTTGGGGAAAGGGGAAGGCTTGCAAATTCTGAAGCATGGAGGAGATGCCAAGCGAGAAGAAACAAAGTGAATCTGGATCAATTAATTGCGCACCTAGTTCAAGCAGCAGCCAGGACATTCCCAATTCACTGGTGAATAAAGATGAAGACCTCGCTATTGGGGTGGTAACAGAGTTAAAGAAGGAGGGGACGCCCATTGAACAGAAGGAGGAAAGGGCGTCAACGGCCATCGACTTGAAGGAGGAGGGTACAACCACCCAACTGAAGGAGGAAGGGGCTTCCAAGGAGGATGAGGCAGCTGTTGACTCCAAGGAAGAGGGGGCGAAAACCGAATTGGAGGAAAAGACGATGTTATCCCAGAAGAGAGACTATGAGAAGGCTATCGAACTTAAGGGAGAGGGGACAAGGCTATTCCAGAGGCGGGATTATGAGGGGGCGGCTCTTGAGTTTGATAAGGCAATAAAGCTTTTGCCAAAGGGGCACGATGATATCGCCTTCCTCCACTGCAATATTGCTGCATGTTACATGCACATGAAACCTGAGAGTTATGAACGAGCGGTTGACGAGTGCAACGCAGCACTGGAAGCATCGCCGAAGTATACAAATGCATTGCTGAAAAGGGCACGATGCTTTGAAGCATTGGATAGGCTGGATCTGGCTTGTGAGGATGTGCAGAAGGTGCTGAGCTTGGAACCAAACAATGTCACTGCATTGGAGCTCTACGAGAGCCTTAGGGAGGAGATGGAGACAGAAAATTTATTGGAGAATCAGGTTGTGTCACCGGTAGAGCCTAAGGCCGGTTTTTCAAAAGAGAAGATCCAGAGGAAAGTATCTCGCAGATTTAGAAACAATTCCATAGTTGAGGAGGTGTGGTTGATTCACGATGACGATGAGCAAGAGAATGATGAAGATGGCAACGAAGAAGAGTGCAGTGAAGAAAACCACATGGAGAATGACTTAAGCAATGAAGGAAATGATACCCGGGAGATGCCATCGAGACATAATCATGACGAGGATAAAAGGAACACGGAACAGAACCAGGTGAAGCATGGTCAGCACAAACTAGGAGCAGATGATGAAGGCCAACGACTGCAGCATGCTCCGAGGGATGCGGAACAAATGCACCACAAAGAAACAGAGAGTCAAAATACGCATGAAAAGCCCCTCAAAGAGATAAAGGTGAGAAGTGGTCAGGATCAGCAGGTAATGCATACAAAGCAGAATCAAGTCGCCGATATGGATGTGCGTCAAAAGCAAATTGAGGATGTACCAACCACTAGCCGTAGCAACCAAGAAATTCACTCTGAGATGTATGAAAGGTTTATCAATGGCAACCAAGCAAGACGCTCCTTAAAGCGGCATACTAGTCGTGGCGGGGACAAGCAGGAAAAGCAAACTTCAGTTAAACTAGCAAGTCCTGGGGGAGATGAGCACCAAAAACAGAAGCGCGCATATGCTAGCGATGGAGAAACAAAGACTGTAAAGTTTGTTATGGGAGATGACATAAGGATTGCACTTGTTCCAGAAGACTGTAGTCTACGGCAAGCGATAAATGTAGCTCGGTGTAAGTACAGTCCCCACCTGAAGGCAATGCTTCTTAAGTTTCAGGACATAGAGGGTGACTTGGTGACAATTACATCAACTGAGGAACTAAGGTGGGTTGAGGATCTGAAGCAAGGACCCGCTCGGCTGTACATAAAAGAAGTAAGTCCTGAGCGCGAGATCACCAAGGACATCGTCATGCCCAATATTTCTACGGCAACACTGGAAAGAAAGCATAGCATCTCTGAGTGCGGAAGCGCTAGACACCCAGCAGAAGACAAGAGCTCATCATATGCTGATGACTGGATGGTGCAGTTCGCTCGTCTATTCAAGAACCATGTTGGTTTTGATTCTGATGCATTAGTGGATCTCCGTGACCTTGGTACGCGGCTGTGCATTGAGGCAATGGAAGACACCATCACAAGCGAAGAAGCCCAGGAGATATTTCATGCCGCAGAGGCAAAATTTCAGGAAATGGCAGCTTTAGCATTGTTTAACTGGGGCAACATACACATGTCTCGTGCAAAGAAACGACTATCTTTATCAGAGGATGCTTCAAAGGACTCTGTACTTTCCCAGGTCAAAACCGCATACGAACTGGCATGCGCTGAATACGTCAAAGCTGGAAAGAAGTTTGAAGATACCGTGGATGTAAAGCCAGACTTTTATGAAGGCCTTATTGCGCTTGGAAATCAACAGTTTGAGCAAGCAAAACTTTCTTGGCGTTATGCAGATGCTTGTAAGGTAGACATGCGAACTGAAGTACTAGAGCTATTCAATCGTGCTGAGGATAATATGGAAAAAGGAATGGAGATGTGGGAGGGAATAGAATACTTGCGACTAAAAGGGTTATCTAAATCAAAAAAGGAGAAAATCCTACTGGATAAGTTGGGATTGGATGGGCACCAAAAAGATTTAACAGCAGATGAAGCGTTTGAGCAAGCTTCAAATATGCGATCACAGCTAAACATTTCATGGGCTACCATTCTTTATGAGCGATCAGTAGTAGAATTCCAGTTAGGTCTTGCTAGCTGGGAGGAGAGTCTCACCGAAGCAATTGAGAAATTTAAGACCGGTGGAGCTTCGCTGGCAGATATCAGTGTAATGATAAAGAACCATTGTGCGAATGAGAAAACTCAAGAAGGTATGATGTAATCGTGTGACCTTTTTCTGTAATTTTTTGTTCCTCTGTTGCTAAATCATCAATACCAAAACTTGTATATGTACACCATGTATGTTAATAATTTCATGCTTCTTATAATGATTATTCTGGGAAATGTAAGCTTCTGCATGCAGTTCAAGTTTTACTACCTCATTCATTGAGAAAGACAATCTAAACCCTAACATAGGGAGCCATCTTCAAATATTTTTAGTGGACCACTAGTGTTAACCAGAATTGGTGGATGGCTATTTGTAATAGTATAAAAAAAAGACTACGACACATTTCCAAATATCCAACTTATACAGACTTGTATGTTATCGCGAAGAAACGCAAACATTAGGATCTGCCATAGTCAGTGTGTAGCTTGCCACTATCCAAAGACAATTGGTTTCATCAGCGGATAGTAAGGTATGTCCACAACAACTGTCATGCTACAATTTGTAATAATAGATTCCGGAAGCAACTTCAGTATTACTTCAAAAATGTTTATGGACAAAAAAAATCAGATATCATTAATTTGTCTTGGTCATGTTATGCCTTACAAATAGCAAAAATTACATTTAATCCTGGTGCTCATTGTTACATTTTAACTTAACTAATCTGCTATGCTAGAAGTTCGAAATTTTAGATCCTCTTAACTACATTCAAGGGCATATAAGTTGTTAAGATTTTTTTCTTTGTTATTCAGGATTGAGCTTCAAGATTGATGAGATAGTTCAAGCATGGAACGAAATGTACGATGCTAAAAAGTTGGAAAATGGTAGTTCTTCTTTCCGTCTTGAACCTTTATTTCGAAGACAGCCTTCGAAGTTGCATAATGTACTAGAGCACATAAAGTACACATGAGCTTGTATTTAACATAGGACTTGATGCTGTCGACATGAATACGAATGTTGATACTAATTGAAAAAGGTAATTTCATTCTTTAATGAGATGTATTATTGAGGTTATTCCAAGATATCTATTTGATGTAATACACTAGTCCTAGAAAAGTAACCGCGGCAACTTTTTCACCATGCGGAATCATTAAATATAAACCATAATAATGACTGGATATATATAAAATTAAGAATGTGATACAATAAATCACAATATCCCTTATGCAGTGACCAAAGCAATAATACCATAATGATATAACGAAATGAAGTGTTGTGGGCACTGGGGCCACATTTCACTCTAATACTCCAACCCTTTCCAATCAAGCATCTCCCCCTCTAGACTTCCTCGCTAAGCAGCAATGATGCTGAAAGAAACACGATGGTCATGCCGGGGACCCTGGAGAACCGTCTCTGAAGAGTTCTAGCGTCCACTAGCACTGGAGCTAGTGGCATCTAGATCAGGGCATCGCCCCTGGGATCGAATGACAACAGTGGGTGGCCGAAAAGGCGCAACATGTACATCTCCTTTAGTCATTAGACCCATTGATGGTGACAGCATGGCAAGGGCGGAGATGCTTTGAGAAGGCCACGAGCTACCTCAGTTTTTCATTGTTCAGGCCTGTCAACAGAGCAGATCAGTGGACAGTTTTCATAGTTTGGATTGTAATGTTGAAGGTTAAATGTTCAGGGCTAAAAACCGGACTTCTACAAGAAGAGCTGAAAAGAAGATGGTGTTTTCTATATTGTCGCAAAATAATGTATTATAGAGATGTTCTGCTTTTACTGTTAGTGGAATCGGTTCTTACACTGATTATAGTTCCTCTGTTGCTGAAGAGGATGCTCTATAGATGACCAAAGAAACAAAGCTTTCTCCCAAGGTTGATAACCAGAATTGAGCAAAGGGTATTAGAATAAAAAAGTTACATGTTTCGTTCATCAATTATTTCCGCGGGTTCAAATTGCAACCCAGTTTCAATGATGTTTTATTTGCAAGTCCAACCCTCAGTACCGTAACATTGTACCCTTTGCCCCAATAGAAGGGTAGCTTTGAGCTGAGGTGGACTTTGGCTAACTGATGTGGCAGCCACATCAGCTCCCCACATCCAAAATAAAAAAAATACATCATTACAAGATTTTTTATTGGCCCTACTTGGCATCCCTCCCGTGCCTTATTATCTCCCCTTACTCATCTCTCTCCCTTGTCTCGGCAAGTGGAAACATATGCGATGGATGTAGTGGCATCTCCTCTTCTTCATTACACACTCTAGCATCCCTCAGCCGCTTGCTTTCTCATTCACCCTAGGGAACATTTGTTCAGCATTCTCCATATCGTCTAGAAGTTAAGGACCTTCACCGTCTGGGTACTCCCAGAAGATGTCATTTGGTGGCAGAAGCATCACTGAGCAGATACTCCACTCTAAGACCCAAGGGTGTCACTTGGTGGTACCCGCTTCCTGGTTATCTATCTCCAGTGAGGGACTGTCCACTACACCTGCCAATGCTATGGAGGTACGAATTGATGAATAACACCATGTCCAACACCTAGAGCAGCCTGGTGGGTGATGTCAATGTGTTATTCTGTTAGTATTATTTTGATTATTGGAGAAACTTGAGTTCTCAGCATGTCTTTTCCATATGTTACAGGCTCTGTCAACTCATCTTGTATATATCAATTTCTTTATGTGTTTTGTGAGCACACCAAGCCATATGCATGCTCAAATACGAAATTATTTTGACATGTTCTGCAGGCTGTTGACTGTTCCGAACTGTCTATATTCATGAACTGGAACAGATGATATTTCCAATTCAAGCTACAAGAGGTGTTCAGGATACATTTTGCAAAGCTTACAAGATAGTATTTCACAAGCCGCAGCTCTATTTTACAGATGCAAGAGACCTAACTTCGCATTATTAGATACATAGTTAATCTCAACTGTCGTAGACATATAAGAGTTAAAGTTCAGTGTGAAAGTCTATAGTTTTGGAATGATCGAATGGTATGTACTTTATAGAAGGATTTGGCATATGTACTCTGCTGAAAATAGAGTAACAGTTCACATCCACTATTTGTGTGCATGAACAGTACTGGGTTAGCAGCACAGATGGAACCTGACAATAGATTAGGGATATGATTTGATAAGTTTATCTCTATTAGAAATATGCTTCCTTAGATTTAGAGATCGATTCTTAGTGGTTAATTATTATCCCCAAATTGCGATTTTCAGCTATGATCTCTTTCTTTGGTACATATCGTAGATCCGTTCGGTCCTCCTTCGCCTGGTATTATTTTACTTCTAATAACTTGCTTCAATGGAATTTTACTCCAGCTACAAACTATCATGCACTGCACATATGCAGAAAGGAGAAATGCACTCCTATTGATGATCTTTTTAACATTTATTGTACAAGAGAACTGCGTAATTTTGAAGGATTCATGGAGCCAGAGGCACTCAACTTAATGAACAACCATCCGATCCTACTCTACTAGAAGAGTTCTGCATTTTTTTTCAGTTATATGAAATATTCATTCATATATCTCGGTTACCTAAAACTGCACATGCATCTTAGGATGCAGAGGCCAGGGGTAATAAAAGCTTCCATTTCTAAAAGATAACCCAAAGCTGCACATTACTCATTGTAAAATTCAACTCCAGGAAGTGTGCTAATTTGAGGTCATATAGAGTGAGGTGGAGACAATAAGATTTATTTATTTTACTTTGTGGGAAATGACCCTGTAGGTTTCAGGAGAGCTACAAGGATACAATACAGACGAATGATGACTCATGAATGATTAACTAATTACTCAAAGAAGAACAAGAGAAGAGTTACTCAGAACCTCAAGAGAGGCCAAATCAATCCTACTAACGACAGAACAACTGGAGGGCACAACAAATTGAGATCAGCGAGGCTACTCCCCTTCCTACTTATATGTTCAACTGGATGCGCGCCAGTTTCTAGCACTCGCGTAGCAAACCTGATCCTATACACAACAGCGCAAGGGTTTGACGGTAACCTGGGATCTGAGGAGTGAAGAGAGAGTGGCCGAGTGTTACGCTCCTCTTCTCGATCTATTCCACCATGGATCTGGATACAAGGTCTTTGGGAGGAATTGGGAAAGGGAGTTAGTCTTGGAGAGGGAGGTGGGGTTCGAGAGGGGGAGGAAGGGGAGAAATGAATACAACCGATTTTTCTTTCGGGAATTCAGATAGCTTTATTCAACAAAGGCATTCGCCGAACAGTCAGCCAACAGGCTACTGATCAGGAAGCTAGGGATTATCTCGAGCCAGCTCTCAGTCACATTAAGCGTGCTAGCACGCTTAGCACAAAGATGTGCAGGACCGTTTGCCGCTCTTATTACATGTTGAATTATAAAGGATGAAAAATTAAGAGAGAACTCTTTAATTTCTGCTAAGATAGGTGCTACACTCGAGCGATCGTCATAGCGATTATTCCAGAGATTAACTGCCTCTAGACAATCCGTCTCCAGGGTCACCTTCATTAAGCCCCTCAGACTAGCGAAGATCGCACCTTCCTTCATGACTTGGACCTCAGCAATTAGTGGGTCAGAGACCTTCATGTACGGCTTGCACCAAGCTCCCAAGAAGGCCGAACACGAGCTGGCAACCCCTCCAATGCCCGCTATGCCGTCAGCGGAGTTGATCGAGGCATCTGTATTGATCTTTTCATCGGGCGGCCGCCAGCTATAGCCTGGTAATAAGACGTTATGCTGCCTAGGAAGTTCTAGCAGCGCCAGATCTTCTCTGGTTCGTCTCACTGAACTAGCAGGATCGATCTTCACCTCATCATGTATCCATCTATTGCGTGACATTCAGATGGACCACATAACAGTGATGATTATAGCGCGAACTTTCTCCGAGAACCGTTGTTCACATAAGATATCTCTTGCCCAAGTATCTGGATGGAGTCGGGGAAGAGAGATTTCAAACAACAATCGAGCTTCCTCCCAGAACCGGCGGGCATGAGAACAATGGATGAGTGCATGCGTGAGATCTTCCTTCATTGCTAAGCAAATCTTGCACATACTCACTTCCATTATATGTCTCTGTTTGAGTGTGCATTCATCAGGAATTAAGCCCCTAATGACTGCCACCAAAAAACCCTCACCTTGGGCACAACCTTGAGTTTCCAGAGAGAAATCCACATTTGTTCTTCTGTCGTTGATGGTCCCGTTACCTGCCCTTCCTCTAGAGCTACACGCTCTTTTTGATTCACGAGAGCACGGTAAGCCGATTTCACAGAGCATATTCCCGAGGTCTCATGCGCCCAAGCAAGAAAATCCTCACCTCCACCTCGCCGAATTGGGATGTTCAATATAGCTTCGGCATCAGGTGCAATGAAGGTGTCTCGCATGAGTTCCCGGTTCCATGTCCAGTTTGCGGAATCAATCAAGTCACTAACCATATGAACATGTGTATTAGCTGGTTTGAATATTGGCGACATTGTTACTGTAGAAGGTATCCATTTGTCCTCCCAAGCCAAGATGGATGCTCCATCACCAACTCTTTTCAGCAAACCCACATTGAGTGCTTCACGACCGGCAATGATCGCTCTCCATGTGGTTGAAGCGGACTTCGGAATAGTGGCGTGCATAAAGTCTGTATCATGTAAGTATATGCTTTTCAAAACTCTAGCACATAAGGAATTAGGATCTATCATTAATCTCCACCCGTGCTTCCCTAAAAGTGCCCAGTTGAACTGTCGTAAGTCACGGAATCCCATCCCGCCCTTAATTTTTGATGTAGCTAACTTCTCCTAAGCGATCCAATGAAGAGGTTTCCTATCCAGTGAGCTCCCCCACCAGAATTTGGCCATGCTTGAGGTTAAGTTTTTGCACACTTTCTTCGTCAAGAGGAAGCAACTCATACTAAAGGACGGAATAGCCTGAACAATCGACTTTAGAAGAGTTTCTCTGCCTGCGCATGCAAATAGTCTTTCAGACCATCTGCT